ACCTACATACCAAATTTAGTTGAGATATCTCAATTTTTGCTCGAGTTATCGTGTACACGGACGGACGGACGGACAGACAGACATGGCTTAATCGACTTCTCTATTCATTGAGCATTTATGTATACATTTGTCTATATCTATCTCGATTCGTTTTGGCTGTTACAAACAACCGTTATGGGAACAAAATTAATATACCCTTGTGCACAAGTGCGCTCGGGTATAAAAAACTGTATCAAATTTTAATCGGAATGTTTAATTAACAAAAATAAACCGCAAACATATATAAGTATGTGAAAATATCCACAAGGTACGCCAAATGCGTCTGGGATATCAAATCGAAAATCATAATAATCATAATCATAATAATTATCAGCGAGATAAATATTTTTAAGCCTTCAAAGACTTTTATTTTGAGACCTATATGTATTATAAAAGTCCATTAAAATAATTATGAGTGCGAAAACATTTTTTAAGTCTTAAAAGACGGGGCTTGCTCGAGACCATTTCGGGACAAGTTAGCGTCCAGTTCGGGACTAGGTGGGGATTAGTTTGGGGCCAGTAATATAGTCCAAAAGTATTCACTAAGTGGCCCCAAACTACTTCCCAACAAGTTCCAAACTGTCCTCGAACTTGTCCCCAACTAATTAAAAATAAATTGTGTGCTAGGATTCAATTAAGGATATTTTCCTTATTTGAGCTAAACCCGAAAAAGCCATTAACTTAGTATTATTGACATCTAAAGCTATCACTTGCATTTGGTTTTACTCAATACCGAGCCAACAGAATAAATAACAGCAAAGAAATGTGTGTTTCGCTTCATGCAAATGCAACAAGCAGATCAACATTCAATCAATTGATTTATGGTCTGATTGTGGCAACTTAACGTAACTTGCGGCTCTCAAAAATCAGGCTTTTAGACTTAATACATGCATACATATGTACATAACTATGTCCAAATTAGAATTTATATGGTAAAGTAATTTAGCCCTGTTTTTTATGGGAATCCTGCCTCTGTCTAGTCGAATTCCATTTTTCCAACGCTGAAGTGGCATGCACAACAGCACATATGTATGTATATTTGTTCGGCACCATGGGAATTCGGCACACTGTTTTCGCGAAGTTGATAAATTAGCAAGTGCGTTAAAGGCTGAGTCTTTTGGCTTATACAAAGTGGAATTTCGTTACTAAATATAAAAAAAAAATATTTGAAATAACAGAATAGTGCGAAGCGTTTAAAAATGCCTAAAACTAAAAGAAATTTGTCAAGACAAACGGCACGTAATCAGAGAATAGTAGCAGCGGCGCAAATAGAAATGATGCCTGCAATCGGGATTAGATCTGCGTTTATTTATCGACCTCAAATCAATTATATATGTAGGTGATTTTTACAAAAAAGTCTATCTACACATATCAGTGCCGTACCTATCAGTGTCAGTGAAAAATATAATATGGTTGCCCCAGTCCCAAATAGAGTTGTTCAGACCGTCCGGCACAATGCCGATTTTTACAGTTCAGTGTTCGTTCCGCAATTTTTTATACACTCTAAAAACTGCATGTAAAACTGCTACTTAAAAGTGTTTATTTTTAAACATAATTTGTGTAAGTATACGCATAAGATGTTCAAGACTGGATTTTTGAACATGAGATGCTTAAAATACACACACGAAATGTTTATAATTGCAAACGTTTTTAACGCAAAAATAGTCCCTTTAAAAAAAAAAATTAAGTACATTTGATGTGTAATTTTGCTCTATGCGACAAATTGGTATGTAAAAGTAAACAGGCAGTTTTTTAATTTTATTAACACGGTGTCTAAATTTGCAAACATCAGGAGGGGACTGGCAACCTCTCTTAATATGCGTCAATTCCAAAACAAAAAACTTTTAGAACAAATTTTAAACATTTTATGTGTAAACTGTGTAATTGTGAACACTAAGAAAATTCTATAGATATTTTTTTAGTTAAGTTTAACTAATGATTTAACTATATATATTTTTTAATATGCTTAAATTTAAACAAAAATTGTTTAGAGCGAAGTTAATTCGGCAAAGATTTGTTTGTGTATTTCGCTGACGAGCTGACGGTATTCTATTGCAAGTTTTGTTTGATATGGAGGGAAAACTAATCGAGTGGGTACGGAATTATCCAGAATTATATAATTTGGCAATAATTGCCAATTGATCATTAGTAAAATAAGTCATCTTGGTTTCAATGAACTTCATTTTACTGAAAGTACCGGGCGACTACTACGGATGTGTGTGAATTGGTATCACTGATCTATGATGATTGGCAATGATACTGAACTGATGCGGCACTGATTTGTGAAGATAGATCTTAACTTTTATTATTACCAATCGATTGCAACACATTATATGTACATACATATGTACTAGGGTTACAATTGCCGGCTAGATGAATTATGAATACTAATATAGACAAAACTCTTCCCCTGAGAGGTTTTCCCATTTGAGTTTCAATACGGTTTCCCCTTAGCTTTGATGCAAAATTACTCGAGGCTTCGCGAAGCACGCCGGGTATTTACTAGTCCTTGTATAATCTTAGTATAATCCTGACTAAATCTTTGACTGCTTTATTTAGATTTAGGAAGGATTAGACAAGTATTCGCGATGTGTCACTTTTCAGTAGGAAGGTTTTTTTTTAATTTTGAGTTATGTAGTTACTGCAGAGTACCGTCGATATGTATGTAAATAATTTTTGTAGGTAGATCCCGTTATTGCGGTCGTGATTATCTCCTAGACTTGTTTGCTATCACATTCGGCTATGTAGCATCACTATACTCCGTCTCCATCTGACAACAGAAGCTCCCTGGATTAAATACATCAGTGTAGAGTAATTTTTAAATTAAGGCGAAGGAAGTGAGAGTGGATATAAACAATAAATCAGCTAGCTAGCAGGATTAATTACAACTGAAAAGTTAATTACATAGTAGAACACTGAAAATTCTCCAGAGCATAACAAGATTCTATTTTGATACCAATGCATAATTGTCGATAATATGTGGCTTGTCTATGAAATTTCTCGTTATAAGCTTTAATTGCCTTTATTGTATTGAGGTGTCTGTCTATGTATATTTATATGCACTCAAGAATACACTTATGCATGTACATATGTATGTATGAATGTACGTTCACGTCTATTAATAATTATACGACCGATAACAACGTGTTTCTCAACGTCTAAATTATACTTTTTTGATAAAGATGTAATGTACTACCGGGAGATTTGATTGTTTGAAATTCAAATCAAAAAAATATTTCGCAAATAATTTTACTAGGTATGTATTTTTCTTACACACCTAAGCGACTTTTCACGCACCAATAAATCAACCTCATTTCATTAAACAAAAGAAAAGAAGACTTGGTATTTAGTGGGCAAATTTAACATAATTTTAAAGCAAAGTGATAAGTAAGGTGTTGTATAATTTATGCTAATTATTGTTAAATTAAACAGCTTTATAAACTGGTATCAAGCAACGGTAATTTTCCTCTAAAATTGGCCCAATAATGTTATCGCCTGTAAAATGTTAATAAAAATAAAAAGTGCAAAAATAAAAATGAAACTACTGGAAATGAGGTTAAACTTAAATGCGGTAGAATTAAGATGGAAAATCAATAATTTACATTGTTTTGTCTTCAAACTAGGTATCCGTTTGTATGCGTTTTCCGAGGATCTGAAACAGCTGTCTCCGTTTCGTTTTTTTATTTTCTTGCCTAAGTATCCGATTGTTTATTTTTCTGGAAGGTTTTCACTTGAGTCAATGCTATGCTTTTTGCAATTATTAAGCATTACTGTCCGCCAAGTTATTTAAGTATGGCAGTTGATTGCAGTACAATCGTTTTGCTTTACACAATTTAATAAGGCACGTACATATGTATGTATGTTGCAAAAGTGAATGGACTGGACCAAAGCTGATCAAATGTTGAAATCATCTGCACCGCTTAACGTGAGAAGGTACACGCAATTTCTTCGTATGGAGACACAGCGATACCAGTTTATACATATGTTAATGGAACGAAGGCACCTATGCGACTGAGTCTGTCAAGTAGGAGTAACAAATAACCAATTTTGTAGAGAGCATAATGGAAAAATGTCACGAAAAGAGAAACGCGAGAAAAGTATTGGCACAATTCGCTACGATTTGTGCTAAACTCCGTTGGTTTTTAATCAAGGTATAATTTGTTTAAACATACAATAATTAGAATATGCCTTTGTTGACAATGAAAATAATATGTATTTCAAGCGTACCTTCTAGGTGAATGATGGCAGGGCATATTTTAGGGGCTTTGGAATTACGTGAATTAGACATTAGTGAGAAGTTGCTGTTACGAAGAGTTCTGTTTAGTAAAGTATTTAATAAATAAAT